GTGGACTGTATCTTTATAGGCTATGCACATAACAGTAATGCATATCGATTTCTTGTACATGAATCTAAAATTCTAGATATACACAAGAATACAATCGTGGAATCTAGGAATGCATCATTCTTTGAAAATGTATTTCCTTGTAAATCCAATGATGGATCAAGTTCATCAAATGAAAGAATGAAACTATGAATGAAGAAAGTCATGATTCGGCTCATGAAATTCATGACTCAGATCATGAACCAGAACCGAGACGTAGCAAAAGAGCAAGAGTGGAAAAATCTTTTGGAAATGATTTTCTAACTTATTTGTTAGAAAAGGAACCATTAAATTATGCACAAGCTGTGAATTCTTCTGAGGGACATCTATGGAAAGAAGCAATAAAAAGTGAAGTTGATTCTATTTTGCAGAATCATACTTGGGAGCTAGTGAAACTTCCTCCTGGGTGTAAGCCTTTAAAGTCCAAATGGATTTTTAAAAAGAAAATGAAAGCAGATGGCTCCATTGATAAGTATAAAGCTAGACTTGTGATCAAAGGATACAAACAACGAGAAGGCTTAGATTACTTTGATACTTATTCTCTTGTGAAGAGAATAACCTCCATTAGGATGATACTTGCAATGGCAGCATTGCAAAATCTAGAAGTACATCAAATGGATGTAAAAACAGCTTTCCTAAATGGTGATTTGGATGAAGAAATCTACATGGAACAACCTGAGGGTTTTATAGTTCCAAGACAAGAAAGGAAAGTCTGTAAATTGGTGAAATCATTGTATGGCCTAAAACAAGCACCAAAGTACTGGCATGAAAAGTTTGATAATGCAATGATTACTAATGGATTTAAGATCAATGAATGTAATAAATGTGTATACATTAAAGAGACAACAAATGGCTATGTCATTTTGTGTCTTTACGTAGATAACATACTAATTGTCAGTAGTGATGATAAAATGATCAAATCTATCAAATATATGTTGAATTCAAGAATTGACATGAAAGATATGGGACCTACTGATATGATTTTAGGAATTAAAATCAAATGAACGTCAGAAGGTCTTATTTTAAACCAATCACACTATGTGGACAAGATTCTTGAAAAATTCAACATGAATGATTTTGGTATTGCTAGAACACCATTAGACAATAGTCTTCATCTGTCCAATAATAGAGGAGAGGGTATTTCTCAAGTAGAGTACTTTATAGTTATTGGAAGTCTAATGTACTTAATGAGTTGTACTAGACCAGACATTGCCTATACGGTTAGTAAATTGAGTAAATATACGAGTAATCCGAGTGCTGACCATTGGAAAGCAATAGTGATAGTATTAAGGTACTTACAATTTACTCGGAATTATGACATGGATTATACCAGATACCCAGCTATTTTAGAAGAATATAGTGATGTGAACTGGATATCTGATATAAAAGACTCAAAATCTACTAGTGGATATGTATTCACACTAACAGGAGCAGCCGTATCTTGGAAATCCTGTAAACAAACTGTTATAGCCAGATCCATAATGGAATATGAATTTATAGCTTTAGATAAATGTGGTGAAGAGGTTGAATGGCTACGCCATTTCTTAGAGGATATTCCAAAATGGCAAAAACCTGTGCCACCAATAAGTATACATTGTGATAGTCAATCTGCGATTGGAAGAGCACAGAGTAATATGTATAATGGTAAGTCTAGACATATACGTCGTAGACATAATACCATTAGACAACTACTCTCAATAGGAATTATCTCTATTGACTACGTAAAGTCAAGGGATAATATTGCGGATCCGCTAACCAAAGGGTTAAACATAGAGTTAGTTGAGAAATCGACAAGAGGAACGGGACTGAAGCCCATGAAAGAATAAGTTGATATAAAGGAAACCCAACCTAGTTGACTGGAGATCCCAAGATCTAGGTTCAAAGGGACAACCTAATTATATAAACTTAGTGATGTCATTGTGGGGATTATCTCTAAAACCATTCCTATATAAAATATCAGTGATATTGTAAAGAAAATGATAGCAATTTTGCTTTAATGATTCTTAAGTGGAGTAAACAAATTACTCAAAAATTAAGTAATCACCTATGTGAGAGAGAAGTGGAGCTGCTTCAAAGGAGAATTATTTAAGGACTAAATTCTTTAAAAACTCTTGCAGAACCAGGTTGATGTTCATGGTAAAAACGAACATAACTATGAAAACTGAACAAACGTTTAGATGATTCCTATGTGAAGTGTATGGTTCATTTACATAAGAAAGCTGGATAGTTCAAGGACATCATGTCTACTGGACAACTAGTAAAGTATATATACTTTCACAAGGGAAGGTTCAAAGGGTAACACCTACCTATCCTATGCAGGTTTCAATTGTTGAACACTATCACAGAGTCAAAACTAAAACAATTTTCATTCATGTGGGGGATTGTTGGAAATATGGGATAAATTGATAGGTGAATGAATGAGAAATTGATGCTCAAAGAACACCCTTGAGTTGGAAGTGGGAAGTGGAAAAACACTAATCCCACATTGGAAAAGAAAGAAGGCTATGAAGTACTTTATATACAGTTACATTCATTTGAAGTGGTAACTATCATAACACAAATACTATGCCTCGCGCGCAGCCGCAGGGGGTGCAAATCCGACACCCGATAAGCTGAAACTTGGGCACGATTGCAGGGCCGAAAAGTGGGCTTTGCGACGAGCCCAATTTTGCCTACTGATTTATTTTCAACTCAAGCTGTTACAAATTTTAATTTGTAATGTATGATTAATAGCAGGTTAATGGCGTTAAATTGTGTTGTTACGGAATTAATTTTATGATGGCATATTTAATAAGCCGCTATTCCCGATGCATATTAATTTTATATCGGCAAATTCAATCAGCCATTATTATTCCCGAAACGCTCCCCCATGACCTTGTAAATAGATGCCTTCCCATTCTATTTTAAAAAATCATCGAATTATTCCTCTCTTTCAATTCTTTGCATTTTTGCACTGTTTTTCGATAGTGTTCGGTTCCGGTTTGTTCAAGTTCGCCGAAAGCTTTGAAGTGCCGATTTCTTCTTAGTTGTCAACCGTTATATCTTGGGAGACAGACGTTCGCGAAACCTCATACGCGTGCTGGAGGGAACGAATTTGTTGTAAGGAAACTGTGTCGAATACAGGTCTCGGTATCCATTTGTATCGATTCCAATTCTGTTATAGTAATTTTATTGCTTTATAATTCTGTATTGTTTGTAATATTTATATTAATGTCAATTTGAATTTCGCAAAACATTTACCACGATGAGTCCTTGGACTATAAAAATATTGTTGCTTGAGACAAAGCTGCGAAGCGAGGGAAGTTGGAGAGGCTCCTCGCGGTGTTATTTGAGCCCGAAGTCGTGCCTTACATGACCGCCCCGACTGCCGCGTAGCTGTTAAAGAGCTCAGGGGATGTCAAATAAGTTTGTGATGGGATTTTAGTGCCTTAAGTGCAGTTTGGAGTTGATATTTTTCTTCCTTTAAATGAAAGCTCTTTGTACCTCCTTACATTTACTTGATTTCTAGAGGTCTGAAGTGAATTTCTCTACATTTTTTTACTGTTTACTTTGGTAAACTCAAATGATATATTCGGTTGTAGATTGGACATGATTTCCTTTTGCTACACATGACCTGGTGTAGATTTTGCAATGATCAAATCAGCTATCTGTACTCATCTTATTCATTCACGCCTTTGCCTCATGTGATCGAATGACTCTGGCTTGTAAATCACGGCCGAAGTCAGAATTTGAGAGGTTGTACAATGAGCTGATTCGTGAGTGAATGTTAGATGCCTTACTGTTTTGCGCTGTAATGTATCTTTTCATGGAACGAAACTGTTGGGATATTGCACTTTTATCTGTAATCCATAACAAATTGCAGAGTGCTAAGTAAGTGTGACCCCTGATAATCTTCTCAATGCCCCTTTAGGGTTAATAGTTCTTTTTCTCTGTAATGGACTTTTCGACATGATGTCTAAGAAATATCCACAAGCCAAAACCTCCAACTCGCAACCTTGTACAGGCCAGGCCATGTTTGTTGCCGTCATCCGAGGAAAATCGAGCTCCATCGATCAAAAGCTGTCTTCTACCATTCTCAGGGGTTGATGTCAAAGACGTGGAGTTAACTGGGAAACAAGAAAAACAGAGAAGGGGGAGATATGGGAGAAGCTGGACTGATTAACTTCACTTGTGCCACGTACTGCCTGTTCTTCCTCACAAGTACAAATGCTGGAAGAAGTATGATATCTCGATCACATTGAAAGTTCAATCAATCACCCCATGATTCTGCTGAGCTTACATGTTTTGGATCAGAAAAACTTCTATAAATCGGACCCTAAGCTTTGGGTCGTAAACGATTAGTATCAACTGTAAACTAAGAATACAACTCAAGTTCAAATAATTGGGGGAAAAAAACAGAGCAAAACAACGAAGCAAGTGCTGAACTGGTGCGGAATTCAAAGTGGAAGAATTAATTATTATATTTATTTTTTTTGTGAAGTTAAGGGACAAATGGCCTATTAGCTCAGTTGGTTAGAGCGTCGTGCTAATAACGCGAAGGTCGCAGGTTCGAGACCTGCATGGGCCACTTTCTATCTTATTTTCTTCCTTTCCTTCTTTTCACCCCCCAAAACTTCCGAGAACTATTATAACAAGCACGTAAGGCATATTATTTCCAATTAGAATGGATCAATTTGTTGTAATGCCTATTATTTCCAATTAGAATGGATCAATTTGTCACCATTTTTTAAGTTTTTTCATATTAAGGCTTCATAGCTGAATGTATCGACATTTATAGCCTTGGAAAACCTCTCCATATCAAATTAAAAGTAATTTCCGGCTGAAGCACATATCGTACTAGACGATATTAATTTGTTCATTCGTTTTTCTTCTCTCTAACGACTACACTGATGCCGTCTCCTATGAAGTACGGCTGCTCGATTTACTGAAATTGTACTGTGCCTGCAGTCTTCTTTGGCTGGTCGAATTGCAGCATGACAATAGAGAAGAATTTCATCACAGACTCATTTGTTCCCCAAAGAATGGTGTATAAACAACTGCTGCCCAAATCTCGTTGAGAAAGAAATTCTCTTGCTTCAGTTAGATGGGGGTATGGGCAGATGAATCCCCTCCATCTTCTGCGAAGAGGCTAATCACAGAAGAATTCCGACTGGAAAGAAGTGAGAGTTCATTTTGGAACAGACTGCACAAAGGAAACTCGCTCAAAATCTGCAAAATCTGTCCACTTTTCGAGCCTGCAAAAACCACCAATGTTAAAAACGCGAGCGGAGCATATACAGACAGATATTGGAAAAAAACATTTATACATATTCTTCTACAGCAAGTGTCTATACCAATCTAGCGAGGCTAGTGTCACGGGCCAAAAGTTACACGGCCGAGGGACGAGCCTATGCGGCAGCTAGTGAGCTGGAGCATTGGGCCAGCCTTCTCTCGCTAGATCGTTCTCAAGAATAGAGTAGCAAAATATACAAATCACTTTAGCACAATAACTGGTTTCGGCCTGCCATGGCCATCATCAGGAGAGCGGCATTAGCTCTCGACCAGTTTGTGCACGGGAGGCCAACCCCGCCTTTAGAAATCCTCTAAATTTATAATCATCACATCCCTGGATTCCTTGCACAAACACTCTGATGCCACCCCGATAAACCAGTTGTATTACCCTTTTGTATTTCTTGCACTTCACTTAGATGCCACAAAGCCTCCACTTTTCAACCCACTTGGGTATGAGAGAAAACAAAACTCGGATGTTCTCCCCTGCCCAATTCCAGCAACACCCTTGTTGCAAGCTATTTTGTCGCTTCCTTGTGTTCTTCAACCATCACCGCCACTCCCATGGGACTTACATGAATGGTAAACGCTCGCCCAACAAAATAAGCCACTCAACTCCATTGGTTGCTCCCCCGATCAAAGCTGTTTGCGAATCTCCAGTCACTTGTGCTCTCTTTGACAAGTGTGGCATTCCAAGCCAACCGCACTCCTTTTGCAGCACTTTCTTTCGCCTACCAAGCACTTTGTTTCGCTGTTTTGTCGCTTCCTTGCATTCTTCAACCATCACCGCCACTCCCATGGGCCTTACATGAATGGCAAATGCTCGCCCAACAAAACAAGCCAATACACTCCATTAGTTGCTTTCCCCAATCAAAGCTGTTTGCGAATCTCTAGTCACTTGTACTCTCCTTGACAAGTGTGGCATCTCGAGCCAACTGCACTTCCTTGGCAGCACTTCTTTCGCCTACTAGGCTTCTCTTGATCTCAGCAAACCAACAAAGGTTTTTCTTCTTGTCAGAAACGTGGCGGCAGATCTCTTCTTAGCATCCGTGCATATTAGTTTGGGAAAGTTGCTCTGATATGATTTCTAACGGGCCTAAAGTATTCCTGGCCAAGGACAAGCCCGTGTGGTGCCTAGTGAGCCGAGACACTAGGGCAGCCTTCTCTCAATAGATCGCTCCCAAGAACAATATCACGAATCACATACTCATAATCTACCGTACCATGTCCAATATGGCTCAAGCATCCGGTCCCTCGAGCAAGATATACACAGTATTTCAGCACAACAACTGGTTTCGACCTGCCATGGCCTCATCAGGAAAGCGGCATCAGCTCCCGACCAGTTTGTGCATGAGAGGTCAACCCTACCTTCAGAGAGCCAATAATAATCATCCCATCCAAGATTGCTTGTACAAACACCCTCATGCCACTATCTTGACGCCACTGCAAATGGTCATTTTATGAAGTAATTGAAATAAAGATAATAACAAATAGAGGGTAGGAGAGAAATCACACTGTGACACTGGTGAGCCAGTTCACTCCATGCTAGAGCCCACCACATTTGACCTGAATATACCCTCTCAAACCCTAAAACAAGGGTACCCAAAATGGTGTTTAAGAGATGGGAGATTCATTGCTGGGCCATTGGGCATTTGGCTTCTTCTACAAAGAGTGATTACCTAGCTTATTAGTGATTCCAGCAGCATTCATGGCCTCCGAAAGGTCTTGCTAATTGGCAAATGCAGAAAAGGACATCAGTTCATCCCTATTCAATATAACATGTGTATGAGGAACTTATGTAGACATAAATTTAGTAAATATTGATGACGAAACATTCTGATGGCACTGATTTTCAGCCCTTTAGCTATCAATAATTCGTCTAGAATGCTCGTCAAACATTTGATGTGCATGCTATAATTTGTAAGCTTAAATGGATTAGACGGCTGGAAAGAAATGGATAATGGATTGAAAGAATGGCAAAAATCGTTTTTACCCATGTACATGGATATCTGCCACAATTTGGTTAGCTTTCCCTGAATAGCAAGAAGAGAAAGCTAATGGAGAAAGAGTGGCATCTAACTGTAGCTTATGAATTATGTTATGTGCTGATGGAGCAATAATCAGCACAAGACCGTCCATAAGCACTTCAAAGTTCCAAAATCTAATGAAGACAATGATGCAGATACTGTCCGCCACCGCGTGGATAGCCTTCCCCCATTTAGAAACGAGGTGAAAACTGAAAGACAAGGTGGCTTGCTGGTCGCTCTAGCTTATACTTATGTTGCGTGCTACTGCAGTAATAACCTAATTAGCACAAGACCGTCCATAAGCACCATATGGATACAGGGAGAGTGAAAAATGGCTTCTTCTGTTTTTTCTCACAGAAGCAGACCACTATAGCGAGGAAGCATATCAAGTTCACCCACCATATCAAGATGTGGGGTTCTGGTGCGAAAACTCCACTTACCTGATCCTGAGTCCTGGCATCAGATTTCCCAACTGCTAAAGCTGACGTTCTTGCATTCCATACCTCCACATCAGAACCTACAAAAAGAAACGTACAACAAGATTTCTTATTGATATGAACTTGCAAAAGAATCCTGCACAGTTAGCCTGAACTTGAAGCACTAATCTCAGGGAAACCCATACCCATCCATTGGTGGGTCAGTCACAAACCCACCATTCTTGATCTTGTATGCTTGCAGGATTCTCATCTCCTTCTTGGCAAATAGCCCACCAAAGATCTTGGTGGAGGACGACCCATCTTCTGTTTCCACTGCATCAAGAACAAGAATCGGTGAGACACGATAAAGAAACACAAATCAGGTAAAAGCACACCCACCCACGTACCAAGAACTCTCGTTTACGACATGGGCGTGAGAGCATGAACGGCGGAAATTAGGGTTTTGGAACATGCCCTTATACCGAGTGATGGGTCTTCTTCCACTTGTGATTTATATAGCGGATCTCTCTCTTTTGAAAAGAACAGAGGACCCTGGCGGCTAGCTTTGTGAATCGGCAATGCCCTTGCATCGTTTTACTCGTTAGGGTTTCCTGGGAAAGTATCTGGTGCGGAAAGGCGTAGCCAAAGGAACTGATCTGGGCCGTTGGGCTGAAGTGTGGGAGTGAACATGGGCCGCTCGATGTGGCTTCGATTTCGACCCGTCTAAATTATTCGGCCCACAATTACGGCCCGGGTAGATTATTTGTATCTATTTTTTTTTTTTGGTGTGAAGCTTGTTTATCGTTGGTTTTTGATATATTATGAGAAAATTATAACGTGAGAGTAAATAGGGTAGCCTAAAAAGAAATGAAAATTTTCTATGTCGTAAAGGATTATAACCTCGATCGAGACCTTACTTTAATTACATAACAGCAAATAATGGACAAATTAAAGTTGACAAATCAAAAAAAAGAGGGAGAATATATGAAATACATATGTCTCTATCTCCCACGAGTCTATAAACAATCTATGTCGAGCCATAAGCATAATCATATAGTTAGTCCTCATAATCATATAATCAGCGATCCCAAAATCTATGTCGAACCATAAGTATAACCATACAATTCAAGAAATACATCGATCATCAATCTTCATAATCACATAATTATTTATGTTCCTGTCAGTGTCGATGCGAATACACCAAGCAGAAGCAGCTCGTAAACTACCGGCTCCTCTCCCGCATTTGACAACCTAACAATCCCAGCACCAGCCCTTGCTCCTCCGTCCTCCACTTTCCCTCCTTTCCCCTTCCTCTCTCTACCGTCTCTACCGAGCTCCTTAATTATCAGGATGTTCCAATGGGGGTGCTAATGCAATCAAATCTCTAGTGTGTTGGGAGAACAACGACAAATTAGTGTAGCGGAACAAAACAATCTGCCCTCTTGTGCAAACCTAATAGGAAACAACATAATAGAGTAATATATTTACTAAAATATAAATACCAAGCACTCGTAAATACAAGGCAATTTTACGTGGAAAACCTCCCTGGTATGAGGAGATAGAAAACCAGGGACCGGAATACACCGAAAATCTTCAATATCAACAAAATTGGGTGAATAAAGTTCTTCTCTAGCTAATATTAGAAGGACATGGCAGCAACAAAATCAAGAACACAATTTTTGGCAATACCCATGAACTTCACGAGGATCAAAGATAAATCTCACTAAGACGTAGGTTCGATTTAAGCTATGAAAACTTGATGAAGAGAGCTCCAAATGAAAATCAAACCGATCAAATTTGAGAACAGCGTGCCACAAAGATGTTGACAAAATTTCAGCTCAATCGGACCATGAATCGACTTCCAATCATCAACTTGATGAAAACCAGACAACACCCTCTTTCCCAGATTTTCTGCTCTCTTTCTCTCTCACTATTGCCTCATGTCAATCATTTTTTGCCGCTGCCACATAAAATAAAGAGAACCCCTATTCATTTAGGTCAAATATAGCCTCTCGTTAATTTCTCCGTACATATTATCATATAAGTAGAAGCTTTTGGGCTTGCATTTCATTGGGCTTTCTCCACATGACAGTGAACCTAGCCCAACATAATACATGAATGTGATCGCGTGTTCTTTTTAAGTGTGGTGTGTAGTCAGTTAATTCTAGCGATTCCGGGTGATTAACTAGAGAGCTGGAGAGACAAACAGAGTTACGATGTGTCTTTCTCTTGGTTTCGTTAGCCATCCATCGTTGGTTATGTTATGTACGATAATATATTGTGATGATCCTATTCCTACTGCTTGTGTGACTTGACTCCTACTCCAGGCAACTGGTCGATGAGCTATTTCCAATCAAACCCCCACAATTTCCGCCTGATTAAGGCAGTGTTGCCCTACAAATTAGGTACTGAATAGCTGGATTTCCTTCGTTCTCTGGTTAATTCTCCTGGACTATCTTAATGAAGAAGGAGACATTATCTTTTACTCGTCGGATACGTCGCATTCGTTTATTCAAAACCTGGCTATGAAATAGCTTCTCGGGCTTTCGATACCTCGTAACGCATCAATCATGTTGGAGTACGATGATATCGGAATTCCTTTACCCAAAAAATGATCAGAAAACGGGACGGTTTTTTTAAACCTTTTCTGGGAACTCTCAAGAACAAAATTCTAAGAGGACGAGAGCACATGGCTACGATCGACGGCATCGGAATATTTTCCCCCGACATACCATATTAACACAGCTTCTGTCTTTCAGTTCTTGTTTAACCACCTCTCATTGCTCTCAAACCATTTGATAGAGCCTGGTGTTTCGCGTCATCTTGATATCTAACCTTTTTCTTCCTCTAAACTTTTTGAGTTTAAATCGGACTTTCATTTAATGTGTTGCAGCCCTAATCTTTAAAAACGATACGAACAACGTCATTCTGACGCTGCAAGAAGCTGGAACGGAGTTGGGTTTTCCACTGGCATCGCCAAAGCTTTGAGTTGTTCTCTCTTTTTATGACCGTGTCATGTTAAAGAACAAACCAAATAGAGCCGGAAGGGAAAGCAGGTTGAGCAAAGGAGATGGACAAACAGAGCCTTGCCACTGCAGATTTCGCGTGACTGCTTTTCGGCCTCAAAGAGGAAACGAACAAATTTCATTTACCCTCAGAATCGGGTTCTCTTCATGCACTCCCCGAAAGTGGGCGTTCCACTCCACGTGTTTGCACGACCCGGTTGCACTCTCAATCCTCCCCCTCGTTCTTATCGTAATCGAACGTTACACTTCGCCTTGATGCTGCCATATACTAGACCAGACCTGCTCCGCTTCAGTACGAAGACAAGCACCACAGCAAAAGCAGAGAAAGAATTGTTTCTGGGTTTGCTGCCGGAGGTGGGAAAAATGGCTGATGCTCAGGGGAATTCATCATCGTCATCATCATCATCATCGGCATCGTCAACTCTTTCCGTAGTGGAAGATGGTACTGAAGTGAAGGTGTGCCTTTTTATCTGATTTTTTTCCCTCCTCCTTTATTATTTTTTGGTCGGTGATTGCTTTCGTTTATTTATTTTTGTATCAGATTGTTGGTACCAGCAGACTTAACAAAGATTGTTTTTTTTTGTATGGCCAAATGGGCTGAAGCTTCTTGAGTAGTGTTCTCCTTGATTGTTTGTGTCCATCTTTGTACCTGTGCACTACATTTAGCTTTGAATTTCACCTTATTCCATGATCATTTGCCTTTCAACCTTTCAGTGTTTTTATCAAGCAAAACCATTCAACAAGTGAGGTGCTCTCTTTTCCTGCTAGGCTCCTAGCATTTTCTAAGCTCTTGAAAATTCTGAGCTCAGGATATTTCCCTTTGTTGCACATGTACATGCGGTCTCTCACTGTCTTAGGCTTCTTTTTATGCTACATTGCCGCGATTATGTGGGAAGGTTTTTGTTCTGCTGGAGCAGACCAGATGGCTTGTGTTTGATCGCTGGTTTTAAAGTACGGTGTGCATGCGCTCTCTCCTTTTTATGGAATAAAGCATGAAATTCGCGAATCCAAGAAATGGTTAAAATAGAAAGTAGGAAGTAGAGTAACCGTGACATACACGTGTTCTATCAACGATCAAATAGAATGTTAACGTTCAGAGCTACTCGTTTCCTTTGTGGAAACAACATTCCTAACTTTTTTCATGCCATCTACGGTTTAATGCCGTTAAAGTTTTTAGCTAAAACGGCAAGTGTATTCTTGTTGTTGAAGCGACTATCGTTGCGGCATTAAATGTGGATGGAACCGTACATGGGTTATAAGGGTTATAGTTGTGTATATGAAAAAACAACTTTAAGTGTTGCTCGATGTGAATAGATATGGACGTGAGATGTAGGTTAGTTCTCTTAAAAGTTTTAGGGAGAATGTGTTCTCTGGGGTACCAAGTGGGGATAATACATGCACAACATAGGACAAGATAATGCGTCCTGGTTAAATTAACAAGACAAAAACACAACTTTGATGCCCGTGCCGCCACTCCACCGTTAAGTGGTACTGCAACGAGGCTTAAGGAACAGCATCCTTACTCTTTCCAAGTAACCTGTGGGGTATCACATTGGCAAACACATATAACAAGTGTAAACTGTCTTCTTGTGTCATTGGCATTGCTCATGCATAGCATTCTGATGTTGCCTTCTGCTCATCTAATTTTCCATCACACTTTTTTCCCTTAATTGGCATATCATGTAATGATGTCATGCTTCAACTGATATTCTTGATTAACTTTTGATATGCAACCTGATAATGGAATCTTAAGGGGACGTTATATCGTCAATTATTCATGTAAAAGCCTCATTACTGGGAAAGTTTTCTTTCCCAATTATGAACTTCTTTAAAGGAAACTATTCTACTCTAATACTTCTCAAGCAATTGTAACTTTGTAATTTGCAACCATTCATGCATGCTCTGGCCCCCGTTAACAGATGATTTACCCCTTTTACACTTCCATTTGAAAGCGCTGTATCAATAGCACGAATCAAAGGAAATGTCAGGATGCATACTCATACTATACTCAATTCAAAGTAACAAATCTCTTTTGTTGAATATTATTAGAATTACACCGATCCAGAAACAGGAGAAGAATTCTTCCATGAAGAAGAAGAAGAAGAAGAAGAAGAAGAAGAAGAAGGAGAAGAAGAAGAAGGAGAAGGAGAAGGAGATGATGAAGAAGAAAAAGATGATGATGAAGAGGAAGAGGACGAGGAAGAGCAAGCAATGCTGAATTCTGCAGCTGCAAAAGCGGACAATCCATTCCAGGTTTTTGATAACAAACCTACTGATTTTTCCCGTGGTAAACTGATTCTGTTGTTTACACAAAGTCGGGTCATTTATATGCCATATGTCCATTTCGTATTTCCACGTTCATCACTGAATTTATCTTTTCCGATATAGAAATCTTCTTATTTGACATCTTGTAATGCCCCATCATAGTATATTGCTTCATCGATATAACCACTACAGATCAACATAGTCGGGGAAGGCGCTGCATTAGTCACATAGATAGCTGTTTCATTTCTTGAATG